TTAAACACTTGGTCAAAAGCTTCACTCTCCGAGGGCACTCCAAGTCTCTTGTAGTGTCCTGCTAGAACTTCCCTTTTTCCCTTCCCACTGCTGACTACTCCATCGTTCACACCTCGCAAAGTTGCTACCCCTGTATCCCCCCCGTGCGCGGACTTTTTTACCATTCCACTAATCCCTTCCCACATCTGCTTGACGTTCCCCTCCAGGCCTTCGTCGGCCTTCTGCACTACTTCGTCCCAAATGCACTTTTTTCTTCTTTTTCACTAGACCCTTCACCTGTTTTCGCTTGGCCCTGTACTTTTCCCAACTCCACTCAGACGCCTCACTCAGGTACTGCTTCAAGACTTTTCTACGTTCCATTATTTCTTCTTTCAGCTCGTCATCCCACCACGTAACCGATACCCCACATCGTACCACCTTCTTTCCCACTACTCTCGTTGCGTTCACGATGGACTCCCACCCTTCAATCACCCTGTCCCCTGCTGCTTGTACGTCTACCTGTTCGTCTTCGACGCTTCTCAGCAGTGATGGGGAGCTTGTTTTACAACGTCGTTGTCAAGCGACGAAAACCCAACCCCGATGGCAAACATGGGGGGGGGGCTAGGGGGGAGTGTGTTTTTTTTTGCGGCGCCCCCTTCGGCCCCCTGCCGGCTCTGGCGCTCTCTCTGGCGCTCCGGCTCTGACACAGTACACCAGACAGGCTGCGAACCACGATATACTGTCTGCTGTACGATTTGATGGTGCTCTCCGCCAGCCCTCGTGAGCAGAGAAAATAAGAAATTGCCGATTGAAGAAATTCAGCAGGATTTAGCGGCACGAGATAGGAACTTGACATAAGAAACTGAACGACATACATACACTGAGTTTGTAGCCCACAATAAGAATTCAAGGCTGGACCTGAAAATAAGCGTTTCTTCATGGCGGGCGCTAACTGTATGTACTGAAGCAAATGCCGTCGTGTGTCAAATTCGACCCCCCCCTGTGAGTACACTGGGCGTGGATCATTCTTTCGCGCGTTTCCCTGCCCAGCCTACTCTTGATTCCCAAGTACCTTCTGTAGACATATACACGTCGGCCGGGGACAGATAGAGAGCAGGCTCGTGAGTCCCGAACCAACATGCGGTCACTGTCGTTGAGGAGACCACGAGGGACCGTATCGAAGTAAGGATACGTTCACGGTTAGACCTAGGGTACCCCTGTTAATTGGATCGAGCAAATGAGTGGAATCGTGCGGGGGGCTCCCTCCCTTGTCGTAGGTGGGTCTGTTCACCCACCAACTCTTTGGCGGGGTCATGTGTGGTCGGACTGATGTCGTTCGGAGTACTTCATATCTTCGCGGCCGATAAGATGGAACAGCTACACTGTAGTATATATATGTGAAACAGCTACCAGGAGAGAGCGCGTGTGCACCTCCCCCACCCAACACGTGCCGTTGGTGGACACGATCTCCTGACAACGCGGTAGGAGTAACTTGTGGGTAGCGTGAACTAGAGTTATCGAGCATTGCATTCTTCACGCCAAAAAAAAAAAGGCACGGCAGGGAAACTTATCACAGCCACTGCCTGTACCCCTAAGCCCGAGTGGCAAATCCGTGCACGGCAGCCTCAAGTACACCCCATGCACCAACCCATAGATAAAGGCAGCGACATAGGTACATGGTCAGCAAAGGCGTGGACTACTCGGGTGCGTCGCAGTCGTGGCCAATACCCAAAAACCACGCCCGAAGCACTCAGAATGCAATCATCTATCACACAGCGAGAGAGCGGGCCAGGACCCGGTGCAAAACGATGCCGGTAGACGCCCCTACAAGCGCGAGACCAACAAATGTCAGCAAAAAATATCCCCAAATACAGTGATACCGAACCACACCAATACGGGAGTGCGAGACACTGCGGCAAAGCAGCTAGAGATGTAGCACCAAGGGAGAAGGCAATTGTCAGGTCAATCGGGCCGGCAAAAACGGATTGATGGCCAATCCCGCTATTTGACGTTTTGGTGTACCTTGCAAAGAAATGTCATTGAAGCACCGACT